TATGTTTTCATTTCTCTTAGGCCTGTTCCTAGGAGTAGAATTACTGGGTCTTATGGGAACTCTACTTTTAATCTCTTGAGGAATGACCAAACTATTTTCCAGAACATCTGCTCCATTTTACATTCCAATCAGCAGTGTATCAAAGTTTCAATTTCTCCACATTCTAGTCAACACTTGTTATTGTCTGACTTTCCAATTTTAGCCATCCTGGTGGATATGAAGTAGTATTGATGTCAGAGGAGAGGGTCTGAGAAGGCTGTACAGCCAGCCTCAACCCACCCCATCCTCTTACCAGGTTCTTGACTCCGCCACAGGAAAGAATTCAAGAGCAGAGTCACAGTAGAAAGTGAGAACAGGTTTATTGTAGCAAATAAGAGATACAGACTTCACAGAGGAAGTGCAGCCTAGCTCCAGAGACTGAGCAGGGCCCACAGCAAGTTTAATATAAAAGTAAGAAATACACACTTACAGTTTAGCACAGAGTGCAGGTTGGCTCAAGAGAGTAAGCAGCCTTGGTGAAAGTAAGTTGGATACAAAAAGAAAGAAATATACAATCCACAGGCAGAGTGTGGGTTGCCCCTGGAGAGTGAGCAACAGCTCCACCTCTTACCAGGATTCGGATTTTATAGTTTTGCAATCTAATACATATTCATGGTATCTAATGAATATTCAATTAAGGGGGTGGTTTCCTGTTATGTAACATAGTCTTGCACATACATGCTCAGTTGGTCTCCTTTTGGACCATGTTCACTGGTCAAATCCTATCACATGCACTGAATATATTCAAGAATATTCTGTGCTCTTTAGAACCCTTAGTTGAAGGTCATTCAAAGAATAAACTCCCTTCCACTGAGCATGCTTGGTCACTGGGATCATGTAGGCCTTTATAAATTCCTTTTGCTGAGCATGTTCTGCTACTGGATTTGCATAAGTCTCCCCCTTGTTGTCTCAATCTCCCAGTCTTGGTCCCCAAAATAGGTCTAACTAGCAACAGTAACTCTCCTTTAGGGGAGGGCTTTGCAGAGGGGCTTGAGACTTCAGGGAGGGGCTTGAAACCCAGAGGTGTGTCCTGAAACCTGAACCCAGGGAAACTGAGCACCTCGTATCTCAGTATCTCATTGTGGTTTTGATATGCATTTCCATATTGGCTAATGGTGTTGAGCATCTTTTTGTGTGCTTATTGGCCATTCATATATCTTCTTGGAGAAATACCTATGCAAATTGTTTGCCCACTTTTTAATTGTTTGTCTTTTTATTATTGAGTGGTAGTTATTTGTATTCTGGATACAAGTCCCTTGTCAGATATATTATCTACAAGTATTTCTCTCTTTCTGTGGGTTGTCTTTTTACTTTCTTGATGGTGTCCTTTGAAGCACAGACATTTTTAATTTTGATGAAGTCCAATTTTTATTCAGTATTTCTATTGTTATTTGATGTTTTGGGTGTCAAATCTAAGACGGCTGTGCCTAAACCAAAGTCACAAAGATTTACTCCTATGTTTTCTTCTAAGAGTTTTAGAGTTTTAGCTAATACATTTAGATCTGACCCATTTGGAGTTAATTTTTGTGTTATGGTGTAAGGAAGAGGTCCAACCTTGTTCTTTTGCCATGTGGATATCTGGTTATTCCAGCACCATTTGTTGAAAAGACTATTTTATTTCCTATTGAACTGACTTGGCACCATTGTCAAAAATCAATTGATGATGAAGACAAGGCTTTATTTCTGGACTCTTATTTTTTTGGTGGCTGGCCAATACAGGGATCTGAACTCTTGACCTTGATGTTATAACACCATGCTCTAACCAACTGAGCTAATTGGCCAGCCCTATTTCTGGATTCTTAATTTTATTCTATTGAATATATGTCTGCTCTTATGCCAGAACCAAACTGTCTTGATTACTGTAGCTTTGTAGTAAGTTCTGAAATCAGGAAATGTGAGTCTTTCAGCTTTGTTCTTCTTTTTCAAGATTGTTTTGGCTGTTCTTGATATCTTGTGATTTGAATTTCAGGACTGAGTTGTCAATTTCTGGAAAAAAAAAGCAAACTGGGATTTTGATAGGGATTCTATTGAATCTGTAGATCAATCTGGGGAGTATTGTCCCTTAACAATACTCAGTGTTCCAATCCCTGAATATGGGATGTCTTTCAATTTGTTTAGGTTTTCTTTCATTCAACATTATTGCATAGTTTTCAGAGCATAAATCTTACGTTTCTTTTGTTAAATTTATTCCTAAGTATTTTAATATTTTTGATGCTATTAGAAATGGAATTGTTTTCTTAACTTCATTTTCATATTGATCATTGTTCATTTCATATATTGATCTTGTGCTCTGCAAACTTTCTGAACTTGTTTTCCAGTCCTAATGGTTTTTACTTGGTTCTTTAGGATTTTCTTCTTTTTTAAAAAAAATTTTTATTAGGGCCAGCCTGGTGGCGCACTCGGTAGAGTGCGGCGCTTGGGAGTGCGGCGGAGCTCCTGCCGGAGGTTTGGATGCCATATAGAGACCAGTCCGCTCACTGGTTGAGCGCGGTGCGGGCGTGACACCGAGGGTTGCAATCCCGTTGACGGTCACGAAAAAAGACAAAAAAAAAAATTTTTTTTTTATTAGCATATTCATTGTTACAAATCATACATGTTCTTTATGACCCTTATCCAATCTCTCCCCTTCCCCCAGGATTTTCTATATGCAAGATCATGTCATCTGCAAATAGATATAGTTTTGCCTCTTCCATTCAAATCTGGATGCCTTTTATCTCTTTTTCCTGCCTAATTTCCCTGACTAGAACCTTCAGTACAGTGTTGAATAGTAATGGTAAGAGCAGACGTCTTGTCTTGTTCCTGATTTTAGAGGGAAAGCCTTCAATTTTTCATCATTAAGTTGGCTGTGGGTTTTTTATACATGCCATTACTTGGTTGAGGAACCTTCCTTCTAGTCCCAGTTTGTTGAGTGTTTATATCATGTAAGTTGTTAGATTTTGTCAAATGCTTTTCTTCCTGCATCTATTTAGATGATCATATGTCTTTTGTCCTCTATTCTATTGATGATCATGTATTACATTTATTGAGGTTCATATGTTAAGCCAACTTTACATTCCTGGGATAAATCCCACTTGGTCATGGTGTACAATGTTGTTGGATTCAGTTTGCTTGTTTTTTGTTGTGGATGTTTGCATCTGAAATCATAAGAGATCTTGGTCTATAGTTTTCTTTTCTTGTGATGTCTTTGTCTGTTTTGGTCTCAGGGTAATACTGACCTTATAGAATTAATTAGAAAAGTATTCTCTTTTCTTCTATTTTTTGGGGGAAGTTTCTGAGAAGTTGGTATACCTGTTAAAATATTTGGTAGAATTTACCAGTGAAGCCATCTGGTGCTTGGCTTTTCTTTGTGGGGAGTTTTAAAATTACTAACTCAATCGCTATACTTGTTCTATTCAGATGTTCTGTTTCTTTTTGAGTGAGTTTTGGTTATTTGTATCTTTCTGGGAGTTTTTCCATTTCATCTAAGTTATCTAATTTGTTGGCATACAGTTGTTCATAGTATTCCCTCACACCATACTCATTTTTATTTCTGTAGGGTTGGTACTGATGTCACCTCTTTCATTCCTGATTTTTTTTTTCCCTTTTTGTCTTTTTTCGTGTCCAGCAACAGATCGCAACCCTCAGTGTCGCGCCCGTACCGGACCGGGACCGGCAACGGGATCGCAACCCTCAGTGTCGCACCTGCACCTCGCTCAGCCAGTGAGCGGGAACCGGTCTGTATGTGGGATCCGAACCCTCGGCAGAAGCGCCGCCGCACTCCCAAGCGGTGCACTGTAGCAGTGCGCCACTGGGCTGGCCCTTTCATTCCTGATTTTAATAATTTAAGTATTTTCTCTTTTTTTCTCGGCTAGTCCAGCTAAAGATTTGTCAATTTGGCTCATCTTTTTGATGACTTATGGCTTCATAGGTGCTCAATTTAAAAATTATACCACATAAGTTACATATATAATATATAATCTGTTGTATATATAAAATATTGCAGAGTAAAAATGGAAAACAAAGAAAGGAAAAAGGAATCATGGAGCAGTTAATTGTCTTAAGAGACTTCCTAGGGCCATAGGTCCTATATTTGAGTTTCACATTGAATCATTTGATTATCCAGATAAACTAATTTCTAAATTCTTAAGAATTTTGTCTTTAAAATGAAACTAATATCTGCTTCACAGGCAAGGACGTAATTGATACACTGTGAAATCCTTGGGTGAAAGATGATAAAGTGAAACAGTATTCATTACAGTGCTAATAGTATTGACAAATTTGACACTGCATTAAGATTGCTGTAACAAAATACTACAAACTGAGTGGCTTAAAAAAAAACAGAAATTTAGGGCCGAGCCCATGGCGCACTCGGTAGAGTGTGGTGCTGGGAGTGCAGCAGCGCTCCCGTCACAGGTTCGGATCCAATATAGGGATGACCAGTGCGCTCACAGCGCTCACTGGCTGAGCACGGTGCAGCCGGTCTCAAAAAGGACAAAAAAAAAAAAACAAAAAAAACCCCAGAAATTTATTCTCCCACAGAAGTCTGAAATCAAAGTGTCAGCAGGACCATAGAGGAGAATCTTTCTTTGCCCCTTCTAGTGTCTTGTGATGGCCAACAATCCTTGGCATTCCTTGGCTTAAAGTCGTGTCACTCTAATCTCTGCCTCACATGGCCATTTTCTCCCTGTGTCTCTCTTGTCTTCTTATAAGGACACTAGTCATATCAGATTGAAGGCCCACCCTACTCCAGTCTGACTTCATCTTAATTAATTACCTCTGCGATGACCCTGTTTTTAATAAGGTCATATTATGAGGTCCTGGGGTTAGGACTTCAACATATCTTTCTTGGGGGATGCAATTCAACCCATAGCAGACATGTTCTAAGCTAACCGTGAACATTTGTTACTCTCCAATTTTTAGAAATATATCAAAAGTATCTTTTCTGTTTACCATGGTCTTTTTTTTTTAAATCTCTTCCCTAGGTTGATGATATGTTTAATGAAATCAAATTTAGTGAGTATATGGACACGGGAAAGCTAATTGACAAAATCAACTTACCAGGTTTGTTCAAAGTTTACCTTAATCATAGGCCACCTTTTGGTAACATCATGAGTGGTATCCAACAGAGCTTCGGTGTTCTTGGTTTTACCAATTCAAAAGGAAAAAAGGCTATTCGAAGAGAGGATTTCCTGAAACTGCTCTTAACTAAAGGTAAATACGTGAATAAGGATATCTGGTAACATCCTTGGGTCATTCCCAGTGGAGAGAACTGAGCTTGGGGAGACAGACACCTGGGATCTGCATCTTTGATGAAAGAGCAGTAATTTGACAGGGTTTCAGTCATGAGAGATGCCACTTACTGACCTGCATAACTGGCAAGTATGGGGTCAGGGGAAGGACCCTGACCTAGAAACCAGAATAATGCAATTTATGTTCCAACTTCCTGAAATTCAGTAAGCCTCAGTGACCTCACTTGTAAAATGAGGATAAAAATGCCAGCTCATCGATCTCACAGGGATGTCGTAGGATTGGGATGCATTTTTTAAATAAAACCATGCCACAGTAAACTTTTTTTATTTTTACCTACCATTTTCCTCATTATTTTATGGGAGGAAATCAAGTAGGCTTTCTCTCCGGATGACATCTTCATCATAGTCAAACTGGGTGATTCCAATATGAGGGACTTTGAAATAAAACTGAGACCAGTCTTTACCAGCAAATTGCCTTATTTCTCTGTACAAGCCCTAATATAGTCTCCCTGGCTGGAGAACCCTTTTTAACACCATATAAGGAAATATGTGACAGTAACATGGGACTCTCTAGATTGTTTATATGTCTAAAGAAAAGGAAATAGTGAAATAATTCTCATTAAGACCTTGGAATGATAATCCTAAACTCTGACATTATGCTTAGCCCCAGAGCTAAATAGCCAACTTTTCACTTTATGACATCCAGGTGAGCACATGACAGAAGAGGAGATGACCGATTGCTTTGCTACACTGTATGGCTTGAATCCTGAAGGTTGGAAATCTGAGCCTGCAACCTCCTCTGTCAAAGGTACTACACCTGGCTTCATCTGGGCATGTAGCTGGGGCTCACTGACTTGTAGATTTAAGTGCATGTATTTCTCCTGAATGGTGCAAGCCACTCTCCTTAAGACTGCACAACAAACTCAATCTGTTGGGAATCACACATGAGTAAGTTATGAAAAGACCAGTGAGCAGTGGTTTTGTCCAAGAGGTGGAAGCTTTTGTTCCTGTGCTTTCTTCATCTTTTTGTGTTTTCTGGCCTTGTTTTTCCCTTTATTCCTCTGACCTGTTCGTTATCTTTCTGGCTTGGGTGTGTGAATGTTGGCCACTAGTAGAGGATACAGTCAGCAACTGTTTCATAAGAAGAGGCATGGCAAGAAGGATTTGGGTAAGGAGAGGGCAGCAAATTGGTGGGCAGAACAAGCCCAGCTTCCAGCTGCTAGTTTTTAAAGATCATCCTCCTCTCCCTTCCTGT